CGCGCCTACCACCAACCCCTCTGGCCTCCATATGGACGACGGTCAGAGGCCTTCTACAAGCTATGCTCAACTGGTAGCTGCCCCGGCAGTACCACGACCGAAATCGCCGGAAACTGCAACAACGCAGGAAGAAAACGACAAAAAGGAGAAAGAAAAGGCACGCTATCCTCCTATAGTCGCCGAGTGCCTCCCGAACTGGACGAAACATTTCGAAGAACTTAACAAGAAGTTAGGACATCCGCCGAATGCTCGTCCGTTCGGGAAAGGTGTTAGATTTACACCACAAAGTCCGGAAGAGTTCCGGACTATACAAAAATACTTGATTCAATTAACAGAAGAGCAACCATCAATGTCGTGGTACTGTTACACCCCCGAGGAAGACAAGCCCACAAAAGTGGGCATCCGGGGGCTACCAGTGGGCACAGATGCAACCCATATAGGCGAGGCTATTAGGGCAAAGGGATTTCCACTTAAGTATGTGAAAGAAATCCCCCCTCGTAGAGGCAGACCTGGATGCCTCTACTTCGCCCAGCTGGACCACCTGAGCCTGGAGCAGCTCAAAGAATTGTATGCAATCGACGAACTACTATTTATGAAAGGAATAACCATAGAAGCCTGGCAGAGAAGAGTAGGCCCAGCACAGTGCCACCGCTGCCAGGCCTTCGGTCACGCGTCCGCAAACTGCTTCAGGCCAGTGAAGTGCGTCCGCTGTGGAGATAACCACATCGCCAGCAACTGCCCTAGGGGTAGAGATGAAGAGCCAAGATGCGCAAATTGCGGTCAAAACCATACGGCAAATGACCGCCGCTGTCCGGTTCTGAGGAAAATAGCAAGAAAACAAGGGATCACCCTACCGGGACTACAACCGGAAGCCCCTAGGGGGGTCCCTCAGAGTCGCCCCAGAACAATCGAAATGCAGGAAGATGGATGGGCAACGGTGAGAGGGAGGGGAAGACAACCCCCCCCACCCCCGCCACCTCCCGCAGAACAAACGCAGATGGAAGCACCGGAAGTAATCGCTCCTAGAACAGCAACAACAGGGGCGACCTTGCAGCCACCCGCTAACGATGCCACAGAAAGGCAACCAAAAAAGCGGAAGCGGGTGCGCAGCAAAAAGAAGAAAGAAGAACCTCCTCAGGCCGCGGCAGCGACCTCTACCCCTACCCCAGCGGTAACAATAGCCCAGGCGCAGGTTATCAAGCAGACAACTAGCATGGGTAGAGCGCCAGGAAGGGCTCTATCAGAAAATAGAGCCCGCTCTACATATAGAGAAAGAGCACGCTCTACCCAAAGGAGAGCAGAGATTCCAACACCACACCCGAGGCCAGTACCAACAATAACAACGCAAAGAAGACCACCTACAGCTGCCCCAGACATGACAGATGCCATCCAAAGATTGGTTGGCATCGCAATAGAAGTGGGCAGCCAAGTCCTGGCAGATATCAGAACCGGGACAGATCCGATAACTGCTATCATGAAGGCACTGGCGCAGCTACTGGCCCGGCACTACGGTGGTGTCGTGTAATTCAGATAACCTGCGCCTCCTATATTGGAACCCGGATGGCATTCAACAGAAGCTAAATGAACTCCGCACTATCGCCCAACAACAGGACATCCACGTAATATTGTTGGGCGAAACAAAACTACGACCTACGACGCATATAAAGCTGCCGAATTATTTTATATACAGGAGGGACGAGGTCAACGCTGAAGGGGCCGCCTACAGAGGCACGGCGGCCCTAGTAAGAAGAGACGTCGTCCACCTAGAGCTGGAACCACCTCAGTATCAAGCTATGCGTTCAATCGGCATAAAAATGGAGGCGGCGGGCGAGGAACTAAGGATTTACGCAGCATACCGCCCGCCAACAACTCCATTCTGCTCCTCAGACATCCGGACAATAATGGAAGGTGAAACACCAACCATTATAGCAGGGGACCTAAATGCGAAACACCCGGCGTGGGGTTCTAGACTGATTAACCCGCCGGGTCGTGCACTATATGAAGACGCAGAAACAAACAACTATGATGTATTAGGTCCCGAAGAGCCGACGCACATACCAACCGATCACCGGAAGAGTCCGGATGTGTTGGACATCGTGCTCGCTAGGAACATCAACTGCCCGATAGTGGTAGAGGTGCTGTATGACACGGATACACAGCACCTCCCGCTATTAATTACCTTAGGTCTCAGGGCAGTGACTGCGCCTCCCAGAGCTTTCAAAACCAAGATCAACTGGAGGCTCTACCAAAAACATCTATTGGAGAGACCTCCAGTAACCACACAAATTAACACAGCGGACGACGTGGAGGCCGCTGCAACCAGATTATCAAGAACGATAAAAGAAGCCCTTGATGCGGCCTCAACGATCGTCCCATTTACAAACAAAAGAGAGGAACTACCGATGAGAATCAAAACAAAATTAAAAAGAAAAAGAGCGCTAAGAAAGCTCTGGGCGCGAACTCGCTGCCCAAGGATCAAAACGCAACTCAACAACCTATCTGAAGAGCTGTCGGTTGAAATCAAGGCACATAGAGGAGAGGCCTGGGAGCGATGCATACACAAAGCGGAGGAAGAAGATGCATCGCTCTATAAACTTAACCGACAGCTAACAAATATAAAATCACCTGTTTGCGCACTAATCAATAGTACTGGAGAACGTTGCTACGAGGCCAAGGAACGAGCGGATATCCTAGCGAGTCACTTCGAGGAGCAATTTATGCCGAACCCAGCAAGTGCGGAGTTCATGGAGCTTCATGCCCAAAAGGAGAGCCGCGTACAGGAGTTCCTGTCGTCGCCCGCGCCACCGCTTGCAGGAGAGTGGTTTGTTTCCCCCGCCGAACTGCGGAGGACAATAGCCCGCCTGCAACCGAGGAAGGCGCCGGGGCACGACCGGATCACTAACGCTGCACTCCGACAGCTGCCCAACAAAACAATTGTAGAGCTAGGAAGGCTCTACAATGGCATTCTGCGGACTTTCCACTTCCCGGAGAGCTGGAAAATAGGCAAAATTATTGTCTTGCCTAAGCCCGGGAAAGACAGGCGTAGAGCAGCTAGTTACAGGCCGATTACGCTGCTACCGCACATAGCCAAACTGTTTGAACGTATAATACTAAGAAGAGTCCGCCCGTGTATACAACTTCGGGCGGAACAACACGGATTTCGGAGAGGGCACTCTACAGCTACACAGCTGACCAGAGTGCTACACCTACTTTCGGCCGAACAAAACTTTGGAAGGACATCTGTGGGCGTCTTCTTAGATATCGAGAAGGCGTTCGATAGGGTGTGGCACTCTGGACTACTCTATAAGATGTTACTTCAAACGAGTGTCCCTCCGGCTATGCTGCGGTTAGTGGCGTCGTTCCTAGCCGACCGAAGCTTCTACGTCTGTCTGGAGGATGCCGAGTCCGCAGTGAAGCCTATAAGAGCCGGCGTACCACAGGGCAGCTGTTTATCGCCGATCCTGTACGCGGCTTACACTAACGACATACCGACTCTCGCTGGACACCTGCAAGAATGGGAGGACGACGTAGAGTTGGCGCTATACGCGGACGATAGTGCCTACTTTACTTCGTCCAGAAGACCCCATATCGCCATTGCGAAGATGCAGCGACTGCTGGACCTGCTGCCACCGTGGCTGGATGAGTGGAGGATGGCAGTGAACGTGGGAAAAACAGCCGCTCTACTCACCCGCCGATACCGAAAACCACCACCACCGTTGGAACTGAGAGGACAAGAGATTGCGTACCAGAAAGCCGTAACATACCTTGGGTGCCGGATTGATAGGATGCTGCGCATGACCGCGCACGTCGACAACGTAGTCCGCAGCGCTAGATGTGCGCGGGCTGCGCTGCGTCCAGTCCTGGCATCCAAGCTGCCACTGAAAACTAAGTTAAAAATATATAAGCTATACATCAGAACAAAGCTAACATACGCCGCTCCAGCCTGGTACGCACTCTTGAGCTACAGACAAAGGCAGCGGCTGCAGGCCCAGCAGAATCTATCATTACGGACTATCGTGGATGCAGGCCGCTACGTCCGGAACGATGTAATAGCGGCCAACCTGAAAATGGAATCTATAGAAGACTTTGTAGTTCGATTGTCGCGCGGAATGTTCGACCGCGCTGACAACGGACCGCATTTACACCTTAATAACTTCGCGCCGCTACACACTCGCCCTCCGGACGGGCGGCCTTTACCAAGAGAACTCCTCTCTACAGCGATTAGAGAGTCGAGTGAAATCCGCAATGCCGCAGATAGGCCAACTTCGACACCCAGGCCAATTGTGTCGATTACACAGTCGACATAACTGGCCAGGCGAAATTAAGATGACACAAACCAAATTAGGCGCCTTTTTCAGGCAGAGGCCGAATTAGGCGCCTTTAATAGAATACCAAATTAGACACATATAAAAACCAGAAGACCAACCATCCCGATTTATCGGCAACAAGGACCGACCCATAGAAATGGGTTGTGAGGATCATCCGGGAAATGGGGGAAATGCCCCGAGACCCGAAACCTGTTGGGTGTAGTACACACCCCAGCAGATGACAAGTAGGAGTCGCCACCACACCTGGACCTCTGTGACCTCACCCACCTCTCCCCTCACCACCAGTAGTGTTTGTGAATTCGTACGCATCCGCCGGCCAATGAACTCCGCCAAACGTTGAGGATTTACTCCGTGAGGCCGAGACGTCGCTGGCCACTCCTGGAAAAGAAGAGGATAGCTGTGAACAGTGAAGGCTGACTCCACCGCCAAGCCCTGCTTCACGGTACTCAGCATCAGCGCTGAGTAATTCTTCTTGTGCAAGAAGAATACTTCAGTGTATCGCACTTGTGTGAGGAACTGCCCAATCCACCAAAGCATCACACACCCCCCTCCCTGCTCGCGGGCACCTCGCTGGGCCTCCCTCAAGGGTCTCACCCGGTGGGGTCGCACGCGCTGAGGGGAGTAAGGTGTGTGACAGCTAAAGGGCTGAGCACAACCAACACCCAAGCCAAGATGTCGGACAAGGAAGAACCTCCCCCACCACCACCAAGAAGACCACCGGACCGGCGAACGGGGGTATTGGACAGGCCTCTCATGGAGCGGAACCTCTTCGCTCCAGAGAAATCCCGAATCATTCCCCCGCTAAGCCAAATACCAAGACGTATTGGCAGTCCACCGCTCTCCAGCGCAGCACTCATCGCCAGCGGGACAGAGCGTGTATCCAATCAAGAAACGGCAATAACAGCTCGCCAGACTGCCAAAAGAAGAACACCCCCAGAAATGGGATTAGACGACACCCAGGATGAGAAGAGACACAAACAAGGCTCCCGTACACCATCATCCGACTCATCATCATCAACCGAGTCTACTCCACCCTCACCAACTCCAGAGAGGGAAATAATCAACACCAGATTCAGCCAACCACCTGAATCTCCAACCCCAATAAGATCCTCGTCCACCATAAAGAAACAAGAGAGGACACAGGACAACGAAAATCCCACTCAAGAAATGGACACCGAACCCATACCGGGACCATCTACAGCACCAGGCTCGTACGCGCGCATAGCAGCCGCACCGAGGACTGCGCAACCAACACCACCCACAACAAGACAAACACCACCTACAGAAGCGCCAACAATGGCGAAATATCCACCAATCATAGTGGAGTGCTTCCCAAATTGGACGAAGCACTTCAAAATCATTCAACAAATTCTTGGACACGCCCCGAATGCTCGTCCGTTTGGAAAAGGAGTTCGCTTTCGACCCCAGACGGAGCAAGAATACAGGAAAATCCAAAAGTATCTGTTAGACAAAAGTAAGGAGGACTCCACCTTCGTTTGGTTCTGCTACGCGCCGCGGGAAGAACAACCCACAAAGGTGGGGTTAAGAGGACTCCCAGCAGACACCGACCCCACGGAAATTCAAGAAGCACTTATCCAATTAGGCTTCCCCGTCACATACGTGAGGGCCATCCCACCCAAAAGAGATAGGCCGGGATGCCTATTTCATATCAAGATGGACCACCTTTCACCAGAAGAGCTCAACCGGCTGTACGGAATAAACGAACTTCTGTACATGCCGGGAATCACCATTGAGGGCTGGCAGGGCAGAACCGGCCCTGCACAATGTCATAGATGCCAAGGATTCGGACACGCATCAGCAAACTGCCACCGCCCATTTAAATGTGTCCGCTGCGCGGGAAATCACCCCACATCGGAGTGCCAAACACCGCGCGATGCACAGCCCAAGTGCGCAAACTGCTCCAAGGCTCACACGGCTAGCGACCGACGGTGCCCGGTTGTGCAAAAAATAGCCAGGAAAAGGGGCACCAACCTGCAACCACCCATGCCACCACAACAAACAAGGGCACCCCAACCGGCAAGAACACCACAACTACAACAACCACCGCAGCAACAGCGACAACAATCGCAGCAACGACAACAAACACCACAACAATACCAAGTGACGCCGCAACCACAGCAAGAACTCTCCAGCACTCCTGCACCGGCTCCGGCGCCAACAACGTCCGTCGCAACAGGAGCAACACTAATCCCTCCTGCAAATGGCCCGACAGAAAGAAACACACCCCCCAAAAAGAAAAAGAAGAAAAAGAAGAAGAAGAAGACGGCAACTCAGGCACAAAATGCAAGAGAAATGCCGACTTCACTCCCAACTATCACTTCCATCACCCAGCAGCAACCGAGGCAACAACTGCATCAAGTACACCAACCCCGAGACCAACACCAAATAAGGGCAGAGACTGTCACCACGACCACAACGCAAAATAACCACACACCAACCACAATTGAAGAAGCTCTCACAGAAGTGGTGGGAGTGGTTATAAGAATACTCGGAGACGTACTTAAAGCAATGACCACAGGGTCAAACCCATTAACGGCGATCCTAGGCGCCCTAGCCCAACTATCAGCCATCAACAGAGGGCCAACAAATTAGGTTAATGTATTGGAACCCCGGCGGCATCGCTGGAAAGGTCGCCGAGCTCCGAACGCTGGTCCAGCAGTACAACATCCAGATTGTACTGCTGGGAGAAACAAAACTGCGCCCCTCCGCCCAACTGAAACTTCCTAACTTCTTCGTGTATCGACATGACGAGGTGTCCCCCGAAGGTGTCGCGTACAGAGGTACTGCGGCACTAGTCAGAAGAGACATCATACACGAAGAAGTGGAAACAAACGTAAACTTCACATCCACGAGGACCAAAGGGATCAGGATGAAGGTGGGAACAAAAGAAGTCAGGATCTACGCGGCCTACAGACCTCCCGGCACCTCGTTCACCCCTCAAGACATAAGAAGCATTTTTAACGCAAAAACACCTGCTATTATCGCTGGAGACCTCAATGCAAAACACCCTGCTTGGGGCTCCACGATTATCACCCCGCCCGGGAAGAAACTATACGAAGACGCTGAAGACTGGGGGTACGAGGTCCTGGGCCCAGAAGAGCCCACGCACATCCCCACTAATCCCGAATATCAGCCCGATGTCCTCGACATAGTGCTGTGCCATCAAATGCCGTACCCAATACGGCTAGAGGTGCTGTATGATCTGGACACACAGCACCTCCCCGTGTTGTTCACCATCGACACAAGTGCAGACGCCGTAGTGCCCAGAGCCTTAAGGATGAAAACAAACTGGATCCGATTCCAAAAAGCACTGGAGGAACTCAAACTCAACGCCAACATCAGCACAAAAGAAGACGTAGAGACAGCGGCCCATCACCTAAACAAGACCATTCAGGATAAACTACAACTTTCTTCACACCCTGTCTCTACGGGGCGTCGAAGAGAGGAACTCCCACACAAAATACAAACCCAACTATCTGAGAAGCGGAAACTGCGCAAGCTCTGGGCACGAACAAGATGCCCACTCATCAAGAGAAAGCTGAACGCACTTACGGAAGAGCTGTCGGAAGCGGTGAGAGCTTTCAGGGGGGAAGCATGGGAGAAAAGAGTCGACGAGGCAGCAGAGTCACCCGCCTCCCTACACCTCCTGAACCGACAGCTCTCGAAAACACCAGCACCTGTTTGCCCACTAGTGGACAACACGGGTAAACGCGTCTACGATGCCCACAGGAGGGCAGAGATGATGGCACAGCACTTGGAAACGCAATTCACACCAAACAACATAGCGGAGGGGTACACCGAATATGCAGAAGACATACTAGACCGTGTACAGAAATACCTATCGAACCCGGCACCGCCCTTAAGGGGCGAATACTTCATCTCGCCTTCGGAAGTGTGGCGCGCTATCACGCGCCTCCCCTCCCGAAAGGCGCCCGGGTTCGACGGAATCACCACCATGGCAATTAAGCAGCTGCCCAGAAGAGGGATTGTGGAGCTCTCCAGGCTTTTCAACGGCATTTTAAGAACTGGGCACTTCCCGAGTACCTGGAAAAGAGGAAAAATCATCGTGCTACCAAAGCCGGGGAAGGACAGGAGACACCCGGCTAGCTACCGCCCTATAACGCTATTACCGCACATAGCAAAATTATTTGAAAAACTCCTATTGAAAAGACTCCTGCAGCACATCACTTTACGAGAAGAGCAATTCGGATTCCGAAGAGCACACTCTACGACCTCACAACTGGCCCGCGTGCTGCACTACCTCGCGGCCGAATACAATCGCGGCCGCATCACTGTGGGGGTCCTCCTAGACATGGAGAAGGCCTTCGACAGAGTGTGGCACGCAGGGCTAGTCTTCAAGCTAATAGAGCAAACCACCCTACCGCCGATGCTTGTGCGGTTAATAGCGTCATACCTGGAAGGGCGGAGCTTCTTCGTTAGCCTAGAAGAGGCAACTTCGGTAGCACGACCGATCGCAGCGGGAGTGCCACAAGGCAGCTGCTTATCACCACATCTGTACGCGGTCTACACCAATGATATCCCAACTCTCCAAGACCAGCTGGAAGAGGGAGAAGAGGACGTCGTCCTTGCGCTATACGCAGACGACAGCGCATACTTCACGTCATCTCGTCGGGTAGAATTAGCTGCAAAGAAGTTGCAGCGTCTGCTGGACCTGCTACCTGAGTGGCTGGACAAATGGAGGATGGCGGTCAACGTCGGGAAGACCACCGCCTTCATGACCAGGCTGACAAGAACTCCACCAACCTTGCAACTCCGTGGGCAGGACGTAGGTTGGAAGAGGACCATCACCTACCTCGGATGCCATATAGATCGCTCGCTACGCATGACCCCGCAGGTCAACTACGTCGTAAGACAGGCCAGAGCCGCGCGAGCGAAACTATACCCAATTATGGCATCCAAATTACCACTAAACACCAAGATAGGTATCTACAAAACCTACGTCCGCTCGCGGCTGACCTACGCAGCACCAGCCTGGTACGCGTTGACCTCAGCCACTCAGCGCAAGAAGATGCAGGCCCAGCAGAATCTTGCACTACGGGCGATCGTGGGAGCCGGCCGATACGTCAGAAACGACGTCATAGCGCGAGACCTCAAAATAGAAACCATCCAAGAATTTGTGACCCGTACTGCGAGACGATTATTCGATCGAGCAGACAACGGGCCACACGAACATCTACGCAACCTAGCACCACTGCACGCGCGCCCTCCTGACGGGCGGCCACTCCCACGAGAACTTCTGCGCTCACCGCCCGGCGACGGGGTCGCCGGGGACGAGTGAGAGTCCCGACACCGGATTAGATGATGTGAAGAGCGTACAACACCAACCTACATGCTGCTCCTACAGCAGCACCCAAGACCGGGGGAGCCGTTGCCCCCCGCGATGACGCCCAGGTAATGAGGGCCACCTCGAAACCTGTGAACCTCCTGCCTCAAGAAAAGGGACGAACAGGAGAAGAACACCGTATGTCGCCACCAAGGATCTCCTAAGTGTGTGTTGTTTGTGGATTATACAGTGGTCCCAATCAACCGCCGGTACGACATACTCCGCTAAGCGTCGAGTCCGCATACTCCGCGAGGCGTCGAGGTCACCGGCCCTTAGGTAGATTCTTGGCACTCAAGAGCGTTCCGTGCCTTGCAGTGTCGAGTCGCGTAATTGAGTGCCCTCTAGCACTTCCCCCAACCCTTTCGTTGTGAAAGGGGTAGGCAGTGCGCCAAAGTGTTGCGGTCGTCATCACCTTCGCTCCCATCTTTACCTCGCGGCGCGCATCAGCTGTCAACCTGCTAGGTAAAGTATATAGACGTAAGACACGCGTACACCAACCAAAAACAAACTCCTTGGAAGGGGCTGTTTCGGCGGCACGACCGATTTCTGCGGGAGTGCCACAGGGCAGCTGCCTATCACCGCACCTGTACGCGGTCTACACCAACGACATCCCCACCCTGCAAGGCCATCTGGAGGAATGGGAGGATGACGTTGTCCTAGCCTTGTACGCCGACGACAGTGCGTACTTCGCGTCATCACGTCGGGTGGACATAGCTGCTAAGAAATTGCAGCGGGTACTCGACCTCTTGCCTGAGTGGCTGGACAAATGGAGGCTGGCGGTCAACGTCGGGAAGACCGTCGCCTTCATGACCAGGCTGGCCAGAACACCACCAACCCTGCAACTCCGCGGGCAGGATGTGGGTTGGAGTAGTACCATTACGTACCTAGGATGCCAGATAGATCGCTCGCTGCGCATGACCCCGATGGTCAATCACGTTGTGAGACAGGCCAGAGCTGCGC